CCGGATTGGGGTGGAGAGTGGAGCATAGGTGGAAGACCTCCAGGATCGTTAGGTGGGGTAGAATGCGTTTCCTCTACGCTACTTCCCCGTACCATAGCATTTTGATATAATTCATGGGAAATGGAATGTAACCTGACTCTCTCTATATCTATAACATCCTGTGCTTGTGACTGTGACTGTGTTTGTGAATTTGTATTGGCATTGCCATTTGCGGGTACCTGATCAGCTTCAAGAGCTTCCCCAGTGGAACCCAGCGAATTATTCCGAGACTCCGGAAATGTACGCTTCATTATATCAACTGCCATCTGGGCAATATCAAGATCGGCCGTTCCAGGAGATATATCACGTCCCGGGATTTCTACCGCCGTGCCTCTGATGGGACTTTCGTCTTCCTCACCCTCGTCTGAAGGCAGAGCCTCATTTCCAGCATGCTGCGCAATGTCAGGACGTGACCCTCCACCCATCAAGCCCACGAGTACAGCATCAGCCTGACAAGCGCGACTCTTAGGTCGTATCTCCCCCTTGCGTCCGTCCGGACCGGCTTCGGGACTGATGGGAGGAAGCGGATGAACCTCTGGGGGAGGAGAGGGTCTGATATTAATATGCATCGGTTTTAATATAGGACTGTCGCGCGGACCAACGTCATCGGGATCAAAGTATGTATCTGCGATCTCGGTCATAATTCCATTGAGCCACTAAACGTATCGCATACATTGAACTGCCAGGCAGATATTCATAGCATACAAGGCATGCAGATGCCGATTGACTCGAAAGTAGCAGAGAATACAGCCAGATGACGTAAATAGGATTGCATGAATCATCCAAGTACCGAATGGGATGATAGATTCGTGGGGGAATGAGGGCCGCGGCTCGAATCGTTTATAGAACTTGTCGGCTCGTTCTTGCAACGGATAATTTGACTTCCAAGGTTGCGATTATATTGCGCGAGCTTCTAATCGTACTTTCCCGGATCGCTCAGCCGATTAATAATATTGCTGACCGAGGATGGATAATAAAATATACACAGTGAAATTAGAAGGAGAGGTAAAAGAAAATTATAGTATAAATATGGCCAAAACTGTATGGTTGAGCGAAGAATAAAATGAAGCGTGTGCGATCTGTATAGAGAGAAGATCCGGTAGATCTGCCCACGAGCTAGCTTCGTTGATTACTTCAGACGACCGTAGAATTAGCGCAAATCTGGAGCCCCAGAGTCCCCTCTTTAATGTCCAATATGCATTATTTGTCAAAATTGCATAATATGTTTAAACATAAAATAAATTGGTCAAAAGTGTGGAGAACAAGATTGAAGGACGAGAAGTCTACGAGAATTGCTTGTTAGATGTTAGATGTTAGACATCAGATGTCAAAGTAGACTAGACAAGAAAAGACAGTACGCGGCCAGATAGACAAGTGTATATGTAGACAAGACGTAAGAGTAGCGGTGCGGTAAAGTCCTTCCTTCCCCAGGAAACAAGTGAGGAGAGAATTTGATTGAGTTTTTGATTATCTTTTATCTGGTCATGAGTGGGTTGTGTATCTGAGTGGGTGGGTGAATTGGGATAGATATGGATACGGATATATCTTGGGCTGCTGCTTTTCTTGTCCAATATGAAAGAATAGACCCAGATCAGTAGCACAGTACAGCTTTTTCCAGTGCTGCGTACATTATACCATTATTATACCCGCATACGTATATTGCTGGGGCATCCTCTGGCATCATGACCGGCAAAGCCGTCGAGCAGTTTCTAATTTGAGATTTCTCAGGGTTTGTTTGGAACATGTATAATGTACCTAGGTAGGGTGGTAGGGTGGCAGTGTGGTAGCTGTCAAATCTATCGGAACGCTTCGAAATGCGGAGTATCTTTCGCTCGATCCATCCATCCATACTACTACAATATAACTTACTTGACGAGATATGATGAGAGAGGAGAGTAGAGCACAGTAATAGGACAAGAAGCATTAGCACGTGAATGACCAAGTACTTAAGGTATGTACAAGTACATGTAATCTAATTTGATTCAAAGGACTCGGCATCTATTTATGAAACCTTTCGCATTCTCTGTAACCTTTACGTATCAAAGAAGGCAGTGCGTGCCGGTAGATTATTAACCAATGTTGCCAGTGTCCAGCTAGAACTAGACAACAGATCATCAGCTTGTATAGTGCAATGGCTCCCTTCAGATAGATAGACTTGTATCAATACTCTCTCGTGTCTCCTCCGTAACCTATGTATTGTTGTTCGGCATGGCCGTCACGAGAGTACCCCATGGGCTGGGGGAAATCTAGAGCACTTTTCGTATACCTCGGAAGTCTGGCCGAGTATATTAGTCAATACATACTACCGTGAATACATAGCAGTGTTAACATCATATCATGTTCATGTACCTCACTCAAGTAGGCGTGGTGTATGTGTGGCTTGTCCTCATAGGTGGATAGGGTAGCATTTTGATTTTACGCCGCTGAAGAGCGCCGCATCGTAGTATTCGTTTGCCTAGAAGGGAAGAGGGAAAAAGAAAGAAGAAAAATCAAACGGTTATTGATAGTATGGTTTATCTCTTTGCCCTCTCTGCCCTCTTTGCCCGCCCTGTCCTCTCTGCTCTCTCTGCCCTCTCTCTTCGAACTCGATTCTCAAGCGAGCAACGAAAGCGAGTATCACACGGCCACGCTGACTTGAACTTTCTTGCGTGGAATCACCTACCCAGTTAGATTAGAGAACTGCAACTAGGAACTAACGGCTGTTGTTAAGTTCGAGAATTGAGGCTGTACTTGTCTTGGTTTTTCACCAGGGGAGGGGGGCAGGCACAAATGAAAATGCTTCATTCTTTCATGGTTGAATTAGGTCAAACTTCAGAAATATCTAACCTGGCTAGTAAGCACATACAGCATCAACCATGATAGGACAAAGACGAATGAACATGAAGATGGATGGACATTAATATTATTCACCGTTACATTGAATTCGAAACTACTTCCTTCACCCTGTCTAGGTAGGTAGGTCTCTCATATCCTCATCTCTCATATCCTCATCCCCATCTATTCATCCGTTCTGGATGCTCACTCTTTAGAAATCTTTCTCTCATCTCATAAAACTTCTACTCCTCTACAGTAATCTCACTTGATACACTCAAAATCATCCTATCCCTCCAATCTCACCAATTGTGTTAATACCACATAAATAACAATGTATACCACATCATATATAATGTATAATGTATAATGTATAATCTATAATCTATAACCTATGACCTATCACCTAACCCCGCACCTCAACCTCAACCCCTCAACCCCTCAACCATTCATTCATTCATTCATCCACACCAAATTACAAAACACCCCCTTCCTCTCCCCTCCCAATCCCATCCCATCCATTTCCATTTCCATTTCCATTTCCCTTCTCTCCCACTCTCTCACCCACCCTCTCTACCCACAAGTACACCCATCCAACCACTCACACCCACCCACACCACCATGCGGCTAAAACCACCACACCACACTCCCTCACATCTCACAATCAATCCACCACCATGAGCCGCACGCACGCACGCACGCAGCACGCCCCAATCCATCCTAGCATCGGATAACATAACTCGAGCGCAACGTCGGACGAGCCATTTCCATTCCATTCCTCACAAAACGAGTGATCACAACCATAAGCAAGCATTCGGTCCATTTACCGATTTCTTTTTCTTCTTCTTTCTCTTCTCTTTTTTCTTTCATTCTTTTCGTTTTTTCGTTTTTTCGTTTTTATCCAGATGGATGTGTATAAATGTATGTATGTATAAATGTATGTATAAATGTATGTATAAATGTATGTATAAAATGTATGTATAAATGTATGTATAAATGTATGTATAAATGTATGTATATCTGTATGTATGTATATATATATATGATATTCTCTACAGATTAGATACCTAGACAGACAGACAGATAGATAGTCAGATATACAGTCCTACAATAAACTTCCAAACTCCAACATCAAATAACCCAATCTACCTACCTACCTACCTACTACCTACCTACCTACCTACCTACCTACCTACCTACCTACCTACCTACCTACCTACCTACCTACCTACCTACCTACCTACTACCTACCTACCTACCTACCTACCTACCTACCTACCTACCTACCTACCTATTTCCCCCTCACCATACATACCACATACTATATACTATATATACCACAAACCACACGATCCATCACATCACATTCCATCACATCACATATCATTATCCCTCTCCCTCTCCCCTCAAAAAGAAAAAGAAAAAGAAAAAGAAAAAGAAAAAGAAAAATCAAATTAAAATTAAACAAACAAACACCACGGTGCAGGTAAATCAACCGATCCCTAACTTCTAACACAAAAACCCCCCCTCTTTCCTCCTTCCTCCTTCCTAAGTGAACCTAGGTAGGTAGGTAGAACAAAATCCCAACCATCCCACCGCACCAGTGCACCACACAAATAAGGAGTGGGATAGTAATAATAAATAGTACGCGAACCTCTTGAATCAAACAAAGTTACCCTGCCCTGCATACATACAACATACATACAACATACATACATACAACTTTAAAATTAAGGCGATACCCGCGGCTCACCTAATCGAGCCCGATGCATCCGAAAATATACCTCAAGGTAACGGAATAGATTGATTTCTATACTGACTGTCACGTTCCGATTTCAATCTCGTGCAGATAGATTATCTGAACATGTTCAACATTTTTTTGTTCAAATTTCTTACAAATTTGAGGCTTACATACAAGCTTACATGCATATGAACCCTGAACGCCATTTGCGCCTCCAACTAATGCTCCAACCCAATCCGTCATTATCCGATACCAACCAAAACGCGCGCATGCCTCTCATTGCAATTTATCAATATAGATTCTATCTCTGACTTGATCCCTTAATATTCTCTTGATCTACTCCCAAATGCTATTCTCCCCGAACAAAGCTCGTACTGTACACAGCTCCCCGTGCGGCTCCTTAGAGCATTTACATATGTTCAATAGGTTCTTCTCTAAATTTGTGAATCAGCAATTGCCCATACAAAAAAATACTCACAAGTACCAATGAGAGTTGCAGAAATACGTGACAAAGAAGAGGGGTTCTAGACAAGATCTAATGACGGGTGGACGATATGAAAAATTCGATTGAACTTACGGCAAGAGCTCATCCACATCACGAACGATGCAGGACTTCAAAGGAGGTCGGACAAGGTCGTTGAACAAGAAAGTTCCGTACACAAGTAATACGAAGCCAAGAACTTGTAACCACTTGAAAGTTTCCCATCCCAGAAATAATGATACAATCCAAATAAAGAGTGTACGACAAGTGTCGATGGTCGACCTAGATGTGGCGCTGACTGTTCTGGTCACGGAAAGTCCAAAGAAATTGAAGCCGCTGAACAGGTTAGCTAGAAAGAAGAGATAGAGAGAGAGAGAAAAGTTACCCGATGCTAATCATGATAAGCAAACTTGAGACTCCAATGGCTTTGTACTGTGTAATTTGTCTCCATCCTTCAACAAGATCGAAGTATCCATATCTTCCCGCTGCGGTTCTACCGACTGCAAGATGGAGAATGATCATCCCGAAGATTGTAACTCCAAACCCGAACAGACCCTCCCAGCCTACAACTTTGAGAGGTTCCAGAGCGTAATTTTCTAGAATGTATTCCTCCAAAACGAATTGAGAAGCAGTAAATATTTGAGCGCCCGCAATTAGAAATACACCAATAATAGCGCGTAGGGCTTCTGGTGTTCTGGCTTCTCTTGCGGCTAGCTTTAGTGCGTCGTGTACAAGCGCTGTTGAAGACGGCGCAGCTTTATCATCCTGGTAAAGAGCTCCAGCCAGACCAACAACAGCAACTCCAAGAACAACGGTCACCAAAGCGAACCATTGGAATAAGTGAAGCCTTCTTTTCAAAAAGAGTACACTGAAAACTCCAACAAAGAGCACCAAAGCCCCTCGAGTCATTTGGTAAATTGAAGGGACTACAAACAAGAGACCGACGTTCACTAAGAAGTGCTGTTAGTAACAGCGTGGTAAATGTGATCTGTGGACACAAAATGTTGATGAATGAGACATCTGGAACGTGGACTACTCACTCAAAGTTGTTCCACAGATATCACAAATAGCAGGTAGGGCTAACAGCAGCACTCTCCACCCCACCAATGGTAATCTGTTTTCATCCACATCCATTGCCTTTGCAGTCGAAGTTGTCAAGATGCTCGCTCCATCGTTATCTGCGGCCTCTCCTTCATTTGTATTAACTGCTTCATAACCATTCTCTTCCGGCTTTGCGTTCTTTGCGACATAGCGGCGATAAAGAGAAAACGCGCCAACAAAGAGCCAGCAGCCCATTTCTCCAACGAACATTTGAGCCGTTTGTATGACCGGCTGCTCGAATAATGCTCGTTTCTTGGGATCGGGATTGTCGCAATTCCGGACGCAAACATTGTCCTAGCTGATGGTTAGCAGATAACAGAAACAGACTCGAAGTGTATACTGACTTGATATTTTGTGAGAAGTGTATTGCAGACTCCCGTAACCAGCATCATGGCTACCAGGAACGGTATGAGCACTTTGGGGCTGATCGCCATCGTGACGATATGGGATGGACAGACCGGCGGAGGCGTGTGTGTATCTAGGTCAAGTAACCATGTAGTTTAACAAAACTACAACTAATCGCAAATTGTCATTCACTCTATTTTCCTTATGTTGCAAAAATGTAATGAAATAAATAAAGATCAGAATCCGATATAGTCGTATTTGTATAATGCGTGGTGAGGTTGATTACTCTTTGTCTCATATCTATTGGGGCACGATTAGGAGCTAGGTTGGAGGCTGGAGCTTAAGGAAGGAGAACTCGGGCGGTGACGGTTTTTGGTTTAGCCGATGACTATCGGAACCTCACTCCCCTGCTTTCCATCACAAGATCATTTTCTGACTCGAGCCAACAACTCAATCATCAGTTACTACGAAGCACCTATCTATGAACATGTCACAAAGTGTATGAAGTCTATAATAGAAAGTTTGGCTCATTGATATTATCATGTAAGTGATGTATGAATCATCCGTTGTCACATCGTATGTATGATGCACAATACACACCGACGTCAAGAATCACCATGCTATGAAAAGAATTCGAGCGTTAATGTCTATAGAATGAAGGAGAGAAGATGTCTTTTTTTGGTTCCGTAATGCGTCTTAAGTCATGATACATGAATATACAACTGCCCATTACCCCTAATATCCCATGGACTATTCAGTTTATACATCAAATCGGGTCGTAAAACATAGACACGTAAATGCTAACCAGCCAATTCCACTCCCAAGTATGTGAAAGAGGTAAATGAAAACGGATTGTTGATACACTGCTTGAAGAGATGAATTTTAATGAATTTTACGCCGCCCAATGCTAAATTTTAGATTTTATACTCCGACCCTATGCCTTATTTACCAACGGCGGCCGCAGCACCTCCTCGTCGTTTTGGGTTGCTTCGTCCAGGTCGTTTCTTGTTTTGGTTGCTTTGATCGCTTCCTTCAATAAATTTGAGGAGCTCATCAATGCTTCGGGAATCGAGTCCCCTAGGAGCATCTCGACCAGCAGCAGCCTCAACAGTTTGGCCGATTTGGGGTTGGACTTGGGTCTGTCCAAGAGTGACACGAGGAGAGACTCGAATTCCTCTGTTTCTGCGGGCTTGAACATCCTTTGCGTGTTTGGCAATCGATACAGCATTTTGAGTAAGCTGTTCAAGCCATTTCTCTGCTTCCTTGGTGTTCTTGTCCTCTGCACCTAACTCAGTAAGGAAGATGTTGTAAGACTCGCGCATACGGTTGACAGCGGATTTGGAGTCTTGATCCAATGCCAAAGCTTGAGCCAATTGGAAGAGTAAGGTTGCAGCATTAATAGAATGCTTTCCGTACACCTCCTCACAAATCTTGAGGGATGCTTCAAACCATGTGCGAGAATCGTGATACTCCTTCAAGTGTTGCAGCATAACTGCAGCATTGTTGATTGTTGTGATGGAGTCAGGATGGTTTGGACCATAGACAACCTTCCACAAATCCAAAGCGTGCTTGATGTATGTCAAAGCCAACTTGGTCTCTCCACTTGCGTGTGCAATGAGTCCAAGGTTGAGATAGTTCAAAAGTGTCTCAGCATTGTCAACACCTAATGTTCTCTCGGAAACTATAACAGCCTTGCGGGCGAGTTCCATAGCAGCCTCCTTCTCGTCGAGTTGATAATAGAGCATCGACAAGGAGTTGTATACTCTCGCCACTTCAGGGTGAAGAATGCCATAAATCTGCTCGTGTAATGACAAAGATTCCAAGAGTAATTCTTGGCCCAGCTTCTTTTGGTCTTGTAGAAGAGAAATACGTCCAGCTTCTAAAGCTTCTTCTGCAAGGGAGCTTCTTGGAGACGCCTCTTTGATGACTGGGACGGTGTTAAGGATGTCATCTGGGTTGAAGGTAACAGGCGATGCGGCATTTGCAGATACAACAGAAGCAGGAGAGGCTTCACGGGCATTCTTCTTCTTCTTCTTGCCGTTGGTGCTCTTTCCGGTAGGGGCCGCGTCCTTTGTGGCCTCACCATTAGTTGCCGGTGGAGCTGCTGCTTCAGTCTGCGATTGCTTTGTGAAATGGTAAGGCTTCATCTCCAATTGGATACCAAGCTTCAAGGAAACTTCGCGAAGAAGTTGCAAGTGTTTGATACCTGCAGTCCATGTAGAGTCTAGGGTGTAGCGGAAGCGACGGAGAACTTGACCTTCAATCTCTTGTTTAAGACTCTCAGGGGTAACCTCCTTGAATTTCAAATCTGCCTCTGGATAAAGCGCAGCTATGGCCTCATCCACATCTGGTTTTGGAGCTGCGTTCAAATCTGTGCCGAGCAAGCAATTGAGCAGATGGGCAATGCATGAGCTCGTCAAAGGAATAGGGAGGTAACGGAGATAATTGCCAGCAACATGCTTAAATGCTCTCGCCACCATCTCTTGAACCGCCAGAATGCGTAGGGATTCGAGTCTCTTGCCATCCGCAAGAGTAGCCACTTGGCCGAGGTATCTAAGATTGATACCACGTTTATGAAGGAGCCTGCTCAAAGACTGACCGTCCATAGGGAAACCAACATCACCTTCCTTGAGATCCTTCACAAGTTCAGGTAACACTGTCTTGCGCAAGAATTCACAAACCAATCGAACTTGTTGTTCATCTTCGGCAAATTCAGCCTTCTCTTCATCAGTTTGTGGCTGCTGTCCACTGAAAGCATCTGGGTTCAATGCAAACTTGAAATCACCAATATCGATTCTTTCCTGATCAGGCTTGCTGGGTTCTGCAACCTCGTCCGATTCGCTCTTCTTGGCCAATTCTCCATTCTCGGTTGGCTCCTCGCTTTTGGCTGGCTCTGATGCCTCAGTTGCAGCCTCGATTTCCTTTCCTTCGGCAGTAGGCTCAACGGCTTTCTGAGCCTGGCGCTTACGTTCCAATTCGCCGTTTACCCATTCGCGCATCTTTACTTTCCAGTAAGATTCCACCAATTCAGGTCGGATAACTGTCATGCGATGTGGATATGCAGATTCACTCGCCGCATCGACCTCCTTGGGGCTGTCAAGTGCGGTACCGACTTCCTCCATCCAAGTAATATCCAATGGGGTAACTCTGTACAAATCGAGAACGTACTTTCTTCCGTCAGTACCCAAAAGACCCTTGGTTTCGATACTGCCTTCGAGATCATGACGCTTTGCATCTTTGTCCCAAACTGCATGCTTTTTGACTTTCAAGGCCTTAGAAAGCTTCTCGAAAACAGACACAAACTTCTCATCCGATGCGACAATGTCCTTGCCATCCACTGCACCATAGTCGATTTGGTTCTCGCCTGGGTCACGTTGTTTGAATATTCCTGGCACAATACTTTGTCCAACAATACGCTTTCCAAGATAATCAACAACTACAGTCCCTGGAGTAAACAAGCCGTCAATATCCAATTGGTTGACCATACGGACTCCCATAACATCCTTGCCTACTGCTGCTCTAGCGGCCTCGTCACCACCCTCTGAGGCAAAAGTACCCACACCGTCGGCTCCAAAGGAAAAGAAAACGTTATTGTAGACGAAAATTTGAGCATCTTTGCCTTCTGTTGGGTTGAGAGGAGCTATTTCACCCCTAGCAACTAGAATCGCACCACGAGCTGCAGCATCGTTGTAGTCAGCGAACAACTTCGAAGTCAATCGCTCTCGGAATACACGATCCTGAACGGTGTCTTTTGGTAGTTCTCTAGTAGACTGAAATTCTTCGTTCCAATCCCGCAAAGTCTCGCTGTTTTCAATACCAGCAATTAAATAATTTTCTTGAGTGCGAGTTATATCAGCTTGATGTGCAACAAGAGGCGCCGTTGCTGATGGCACAATCCAAGGGTTTGAGGGAGTTGCATTTGTGATTTGGAATGTAGCCAAAGGTTCTTTGATATTGTTATATTCCTGAAGGCTCTTGAAGGATTCCTCAAATGATGGAGACAAATCACTAAGAAGTGCTAAAAGTGAGTGCGCGGAATGGGCTTTTGGCGCAGATTTTGGCGACGGATCAAATTTGCCTGTTGAGGATTTGTTCACATAGAAGCCAGATACGTGAGATGTGATCTGGAATTGCTCCCCCTCGTTTGTGGTGACCTGTAGATAGAGCAAATGTCCCTTCTGTCTAAGATGGTAGGGTGGGGGATTCCAAGGAGAGACTGAAATTGACTTGACAGTCTTTGGCCCTGGCTCTTGTGCTCTTGGTAGAAGGGTCGAGAGATTGCCGGAAGCTTGGAAGTCAAATCCAACCATTGGATGTGAAGGAGCTGTACTTGTGCCGTTTTGACTGGATTCCTTTGATGTAACCGAATCAAGCAGCGAAGCTCCTGAAATAATACCATTCAAGGTATCGGTACGATTCCCGGCAGCACCAATAAGCTCCCGCACTCTGATGATATGGATTCTTGCCTCCTTCTCTGTGTACGGGTCCTCGACTAAGTGTATTTCTGAGTCCGCCGTTAAGCCAGGGACCTCGGATATCTGAACGAAGTCATTTATTCTCTCTCCCTTGTGCTCAAGATGGAAACATGAGTACTGGAAGGTTCCGGGCAGCTCGATTATTGATTGGCGAACATCGTGTATAGCTTCTTGAGAAGAGACCTAGCCATCTGAGCATTGAATCTGCATATTTTGTGAGGGGGTTTCACTCACGATGATCTGAATTTTATGGGGCACGCGGGGAAGCACCACAGTCAATTGAAAGACTACGTTCTCGCATTAGCATAAAATTTGGATAAGTCTTTAAATTGCCAACTGATCCTACCTTCACCGCCCGCTTCCCCACCATCTTCTTCTTCATGGTCAACACCATTAGTTATGGCAGTCTCTTCAGTGGCAAGCTTTTGCGAGCTGCTTGAAACATCGGTGGGGGTTTCTAAAGACATTGAATATTAGTAGATGACTCATGGTAGGCCAGATATTGGAATGACAAGATCAATTGAGGTAAAACTTGAGCATATATGTATATTGAAGTGCTTTTCGAGCTCTATAAAGTGCTTGGGGTGGCTTACCAGAAGTGGTGTTGTTAACCT